TGCCCAGGCGGGTCTTGAACCCGCGGGCTCAGGCAATCCACTTACCTCGGCCTCCCAAAGTGCAGGATTACAGGCTATGCAGTCATTAAAAAGAAATTACAAAAATCTATATGTTCCAGCATGGAGCAATTTCTTCGTCTTCTTTTTTGAGTTGGAGTCTCACTCGGTCGCCCAGGTTGGAGTGCAGCGGCACGCTCATGGCCACCACAGCCTTGACCCGCTGGGCTCAGGCGATCCTTCCACCTCAGCCTTCCAAGTAGCTGAAAGTACAGGCGTGTGCTACCACGTCAGGCTAGTTTGCTTTTATTTATTGTAGAGACGACGTCTCGCCAAGTTGCCTGGGCTGGTCTCGAACCCACAGGCTCAGGCAATCCTCATGCCTCGGCCTCCCAAAGTGCTGGGATTATAGACTGAGCCACAGATCCCGACCTGGAGCAATTTCTAGGTGTGTCAACAAAAGCAAGACGCAGACTAGTGCAAATAATGTGTGACCATTTGTGTATAAAAATGGGAGGCATATACACATCTGTGCACTATGGAGTCCTTCCCAAAAGAATGTACAAGAAGCCAGTAACAGGGGCTTTCTCTGCGGAAGGGGCAGAAGGCTGGAAGACCACAGGTGGGAGGGAAACTTTGGGGTGCTCAAATTTTTACCAAGTGCAGGTATGAATCTGTGTTTTTAGTGACAGCTGGAGCCCCAGGCTCCAACCCCAGCTCTGCCCTAAGGCACACCCAGAGCCCAAAAGAGTAGGACAGGGAGGTACCTGAGAGCCTCAGCCAGGGGAGGCCCAGAAGAATGATTTACAGGCTCAGTGTCAGTGGAGGGAGGGGACAGCCACGCCCAGCTGCCTCATAAGGAACCCTCAGGCAGATGCCAGCAGGAGTGGGTGCAAGAGGGAGGGAGAATGGGGAGCCCCCAGCTCTTCAGGGGTGAACACAGGGCAGGGGGATCTCGGCCAACTCTCTGGGATGTCCCATCTGTGTGGCTCTGGCTGCCACAGAGGTGGTAAGCTTCCTGTCCCGAAAGCAGGCCCAGCAGAAGCCCATGGCTCCCCCAGCAGTCTTGGAACTGCCCAGGAGCTTTTCCAAAGCACAGAATCCGGCCCCAGAAATTCGAGTTCAGTGGGACTGAGATGGGCGCAGGCACTGGCTGGAGCAGCTTCCCAGGTGACCCAGGCATGTGGCTGTCAAGTGAGCAACTCCTGGGTTTGTGGAGTGCAACCTCTCACTGGCTGGGTGACCTAGGGCAGTCACCTCCCCTCTCTGTCTCATTTTCTGGGTCTGTAAATGGGGAAAAAACTTTTTTTTTTTTGAGTCGGAGTCTCATTCTGTGTCCCAGACTGGAGTGCAGTGGCACGCTCCCAGCCAACACATCCTCGACCTGCTGGACTCCGGCCATCCTTCCAACTTAGTCTTCCAGGTAGCCGGAACTACATAATAAGAATTATTTTAATAATAGCCAACTTGTGCATGTGCCGGGCACTTTGTATAATCTCTCAACAACCCACAGGGCTGTGCAACTGTTACCCTACTTTATGGGTGAGAATGTTGGGGGTCAGAAAGGTCCACACGTCAGACAGGTGGGATTCAAAGCCAGGTCTATCCAGCCTCAGAAACAGCAGTGGAACATACCACATGGGGCAAGTCCTCCCGTAATCATCTCCAGCCCCGAGGCGTACAGGGGTCACTGGAGACAGGTAGGTGACAGCCATGGCACGGCACTTGTGGGTCTAGGGCCAGGACAGCCATTATGGTTCTCCAGATGCAGTGGGCTGGCCACCTGTAAGAATGCTGGCCAGTGGATCTGTACCACGGTGTGTTGGGAGTGTATTTATAAGACTCTTCCAGCTTGGAGACACGAGGCTCTCAGTGTTTGTTGATTCTCAGATTGTTTGTTATTGTAGCTGAAAGGATTCTGAGCCTGGTTTCCCAGTCTGCGAGTCTAGACACTGGGCCCGCCCAGCTGGAGCACGGGTTCTGGGCGCAGAGCCCCAGCAGCCTGCAGGGAGGCCCCAGCAGCCTGGGCCAGTCAGGGACGGCATGGCCTCTGGATCAGCACTTCCTCTGCCCTCTTCCTGCTGGGCGTGTGGCCCTGGGGGTGACAGCTTTGGGCCTTGGGACCTAGGGACACAGAACCAGCTCCAAGTCCTCTGTGATCCCTCCCTGGGGGCTCCCAGATCACTGGGTATGCTTCAGACCCAACCCCGAACACACACATGCATGCACGTTTGGGGCTTGCTAAGAATACACATTCCAGTCAGGCTCGGTGGCTCAGCCTGTAATCCCAGCACTCTGGGAGGCCGAGGTGAGTGGTTTGCCTGAACCCACGGGTTCCAGACCAGCCTGGGCAATTTGGCGAGACCTTGTCTCTACAATAAATCAAAAATTAGGCGGCATGGTAGCTAGCGCCTCTAGTTCTGGCTACTTGGAAGGCTGACGCGGCAGGATTGCCAGAGCCCAGCAGGACGACGCTGGGGTGACTGTGAGTATGCCACTGCACTCCAGCCTGGGTGACAGAGTGAGACTCCAACTCAGGAAAAAAAAAAGAAGAATATACGTTCCCAGGCTCTGCCCTGATCTATCGCCTCTGTCATCTTTAGCAAGACCCCTGGGGACTCTGAACCACCAGCTGGAGTCAGCAGGTCCTGGCCCCAGTTCCATGCCTTCTCTGTGTGGCCTTGAATGAGTCCCTCTTCCTCTCTGGGTCTCAGTTTCTCCTGTGCACCAGCCTGAGGGCCCCTAGACTCTGCAGTTCTGTGCAGCTCTGAGCTCTCCCTAAAGGACCAGATCCTCTTGCTACCAGCTGCCCCAGGCAGTGCCCACAGGGAGGCCATGCCCCGCACATTCCATGCAGGAGGCAGGGCTCAGCTGTGTCCGTGGTGGCAGCCTGGGCATCACTTAGGGAGAGCACAGGACCCTGGTGGGAGTGACCCAGGGGAGGCAGGAAGAGGGTAGCCACAGAACCCCACTGCGAAGTCCTCCTTTCCCAGAAGATGAAACAAGTCCAGGGAGGCTGTGAGTCACTAGCTGTGAACAGCAGCAGGGCCAAGGGGCCAAGATGGGAGGGAACTGGGCGGCTCGGACACGCATGCAGGACCCCCGAGGCAATGGGGATCCTGGGGAGGGCTGTAGCAGTACTGCCCCCTGCCCGGACACTGCCTCCTGCCAAGGTGCTGTCCCCTGCCTGGGCGATGTCCTCTGCTGAGGTGCTGCCCCCTGCCCAGGTGATACCCCGTACCCATGCACTACTGAGGTGTGGGAAAGGGGCTATCAGGATGAATGCCCAGACCTTGCAGAGACCCGGGCGTGGCCCAACCTGGCCATCCTCAGCGGAAGTACCTGGCAGGTAACTGAGCTGCCCTGGGCTCTCCCTCCCAGCCTGGGAACAGAGTGGCCATGGCCATGTCTGGAAAGGGAAAGAGCTGTGGAAATGAAAGGAGAACCAAGCTATTTGCAGAAGCGGATGTCAGAGGGACCCTGGGGAGAGGAAGGAACATCCCTCTGGGAGCACAGGGCAAAGAGCAGGACCCGGGAGGAAGGCGGTCTGGCCGGCTGCCAGCAAAACACAACACTCCTTCTCTGGGCCTGTCCCACCAGGGGTGGGACCGCACCAGCTCCGCGATGGGTGGCTGATGCCCTCCCCGGGGCCCAAGCTCTCTATCGGGTCCTTGTCCTGGCGGAGGTGGCTGTTCCAGTCTGCTCTATCAGGTTCTTCACTCAGCCCTGCAGCAGGGAGAGGCAGGTATGGCAGCGAGAAGGGCGGCCAGGCCAACCTCGTGCAGCCAGGAGCCCTGACCAGCTCCTCCTCCTTCCCAGGTAGGGGTCCCCATCACCCCTGCAATCTCCTCCCCGGGAGCCACCGCTGAGTTCTCTGCTGGCCTGTCTTTCCCCCCCCTAAGGTTACCATCTGACCTGGCTCAGATGGACCCGGTGTCTCTAACCCAGTGTGGCCACATGCCCAGTGGTGTGTCCCTGGACCTCTCTGAATCTCAATTTATCTGTGAAAATGAAGCTGCCTTTGCATGGTAGTCATGGAAACCGGGTGTGAGCATCTAGGCAACAGAGGAATCGTTAATAAAAACTAACAGTGCCGGGCTTGGTGGCTCAGCCTGGAATTCCAGCACTTTGGGAGGTGAGGTGAGTGGATTGCCTGAGCCCGTGGGTTCGAGACCAGCCCGGGCAACTTGGCGAGACCTCATCTCTACAATAAAAAATCAAAGTATTAGCCAGGCGTGGTGGTGTGCGCTTGTAGGTCCAGCTACTTGGAAGGCTGAGCTGGAAGGATCACCTGAGTTCAGCAGGTCAAGGCTGCGGTGGCTGTGAGTGTGCCACTGCACTCCAGCCTGGGCAACGGAGTGAGACTCTGATTCAAAAAAAGAAAAAAACAACTAGCAGTGATGCTGATGGTTATGAAGATGATACTGGGGGGCAGAAGGGGTGAGAACCGATGTCCAATATCTGGGTGATGGGTTCACTAGAAATCCAGTTCCCCCAGCACACAGCATACTCATGTCACAAACACGCACATGCATCTAAAAGCCCTAAAGACAAAGGTGATGGCAATGACGATTCTACCAGGGAGCAGAAAAGCAAGAAGCTTTCCTCGAGGGGCCCATGAGCCCATCCATCCAGAGGGTTCCCTATGACAGCCACTAGTCGCATGTGGCTACTAACACTGAAGTTCATGGAATAAGATGTAAAATCCCGTTTCTTCACAGCACTAGCCTCCCTCTCCAGTGCTCTCAGCCACTGCGGTTCACGGCTGCTCCGTGGACGGAGGATGGTGTGGGTGCAGAGCAGCCCACCGAGGAGGAAGGTCCTCTGGAACAGCGCTGTCCCTCCAGTGGACACCCGCTGCACTGCGGAGTGTGGCTGCCAGCCCTGGCAACGGCCGCTGCATCCACCACCCGGTCACATTGGTCCCCCATGGCGTCCTCAGCCCAGGGCCCCCTTTAAGGCTCGCACCCTGCAACTGCCTCCCCTCCGGCCTCCCCAAGGCTGAGCCACGCAAGGCCTCCCGAGTGGTGTCCTGGTGGGGTTTCCGCCCGCCATCTCCTCCAGCCTGGCTGGAGCCCGCCGGCCTCTGTGGGCAGGGCCCTGAAGGCGCACATCAGGTAGGGGCTTGGGAGGGCTCGGCCCCCAGCCCCCTTCTACCCTATGCTGGCAGGAGATCTTGGTAAAGATCCCCACTCCCAGACCCGGGCTCCTGGTGTGCTGGGCGTGGCCAGGGACCGGGCCGTTTGCTCACCACCACCCAGCACGTGCCTGACGCACACCATGATCTCGATGGACCCCTACCCTGCCACTCCCTCCTCTAGTCCTGCCAGCCTTGCTCCCACCTCCCTCCAGCAGCAGGTGGGCTGGACCCCAAGGCACGTCCTCCTGCCTCCGTTCACGGGGCAGCCGTGAACCGCAGTGGCTGAGAGCACTGGAGAGGGAGGCTAGTGCCGTGAAGAAACGGGATTTTACATCTTATTCCATGAACTTCGGTGTTAGTAGCCACATGCGGCTGGTGGCTGTCATAGGAACCCTCTGGATGGATGGGCTCATGGGCCCCTCGAGGAAAGCTTCCTGGCCACTGACCGAGGGGAGAAGGGAGGTGCTGTCCTGGGGTCAGAAGCCCTGCCTGTCAGGCGATGCTGAACACACGCCAGCACACAACGGATGCCAGCTCATGTTACCAGGACCATGACAGAGCTCGATACTTACAGATAAACGGTCCATCCCCTCTTTTATGGGGGCAGATTAAACAAGCAAATGAAATAATGGCTAACTGATGAGTAGGAGGAGGGAGAGCGAGTGGAGAGCTAGAGTGGGAGGAGGGAAGGGACTCCGGGGACCGGTGACATTTAGGCCAAGACCCGAAGGATGAGAAGGAGCCCTCCATGTCACGCATGGGGAAGGACATTCCAGGAAGAGTAAACAGCCTGTGAAAGGCCCTGGGACACAGAGGGCAGAGTGAGGGCAGAGTGTGCAGTTTCCTGGGCTCGGGGGGGTCCTGCCTGCTCTGTTCAGGCCACAGCCTCCAAAGTTTGGAAGCAAATATGACACAGAAGACACTCAGAATATGACTGCCTGCCTGAATGAATGAATGAATGAATGAATGAAGCTCAAGGTGCATTGGAGAGGCCAGCAGAGCCTCTGGCAAAGAGAGGGGCTTGGATTTGTTTTTGTTTTTGTTTTTGAGTTGGAGTCTCACTTTGTCTCCCAGACTGGAGTGCAGTGGCGCGCTCCCAGTCACCGCAGCCTCGACCTGCTGGACCCCGGTGATCCTTCTGCCTCAGCTTTTCAAGTAGCCGGAACTACAAGCATGTGCTACCATGCCCAGCTAATTTTTTTTTTATTTATTGTAGAAATGAGGTCTTGCCAAGTTGTCCAGGTGGGTCTCAAACCTGCGGGCTCAGGCAATCCACTAGCCTCAGCTTCCCAAAGTGCTTGGATTACAGGCTGAGCCACCAAGCCTGGCCTTGGATTTATTTTCAAAAGCAGCAGGAAGGGGCCGGGCGTGGTGGTTCAAACCTGTCATCCCAGCACTTTGGGAGGCTGAAGTGAGGGGATTGCCTGAGCACACGGATCTGAGAACAGCCTGGGCTGGCAAGACCTCATCTCTATAATAAATTTTAAAAATTATCCAGGTGTGGTCGCGCTCGCCTGTAGTTCCAGCTACTTGAAAAGCTGAGGCAGAAGGATCACCGGGGTCCAGGAAGAGTAA